ATTAGTCCCTGTAAAGCTACTCTGGATCACTGCATCCCTGCAGTACTGCATAAGTGTGAATCACGTGCTTAGCAGTCACAGTACATATCCCATGTTCTGCTCTACACATTCTGGGATTCTTCTTACTATGCTTCTTACTGTGTATGGATACCAACCCGCAAGCACCTACCTCATTTCTCACAGTTCCTTCTTTTTCATGTTATCCCTGTTTCTCTTACTGCAGCTACTTTAACACCAATATAAAGGAAAACCAAAGAATTATGGTCCATTACTGTAACTCTAATAGTGCATACACCTTTCCTCCTCCAGTACCTCTAAAAGCCAAGCAACAGAGGCATCTTGGAAATAATCCAACGTAAAATTATGCACAACAGCTTCTTTGCATTCAGGTAATGAGCATGGGCAGGTGAATGGAACATCGCTGTAGCCTTGGGATAATAAGCAGTAGCAGCAGAAATGCAAAATACCAAAGATGACTTACTTCGACCCCTGCACGACACTCTTCTACAGAGGAGTACCTAGACTTGTCCATCCAGCACCCTTCTGTCACCAGTGAGCAATCAGTCAGTCTGGCCTTCTGGCAGGCACAGCCTGGTGCTAACATTCTTATTTATTTCTTGCACTAGTGGAACATAACAACAGGCAACGCTCCCCCCGATTTTTGTAGAGCAGCAATATGGTGACAAGATTACACAGATGGGACTTCTATTAATTGCAGAATGAATGCCAGGTGCTCAGGATCAACTGAAAAATTAGCTGAATAAAGCTATAGTAAAAGCAGCTGGAACATCTACATTCTACTTTCACGACCACTGTTTGGAAAAGCTACACAGAGAGATAATTTGGAAAGGATTCAATAATATGAAGAGAAGTCTACAGCCTGGAAGGTAACACAATGAACGCAAAGCGGCAGCAAACGACTGTCAGAAGCAACTGCTGTCACAAAGCCTGAGTTTCCTTCAAACCGTAGCTAAGATATAACTGCAGGACCACCATTTTCATTAAGAAACCAGGTTCCAAGATTATTGTAGTAAATCTCTTAAGCTACATGAAGAAGTTTCAAGAAACTTGTCAACTTGCCCAGTTACTTTGTTCTCATTAGTCCTGTAGCTGATACAGGTGGGATACGTTTCCCTGGTTTTCATTCAACTGATTCTTTCTTTTTGTACACTTACTCTATCCAGAAGTAATATGTGAACCTGGTCCATTCTCCATCTTAATAGTATTCAACATATGATTTCCCTGGTTTCCCTGCATTTACTATGTACAATTATCTATCAATCAAAGAAAATCTGTAATACATGACCATCACCCTTCACCATATCGATCATTTGTTGAGGCACTCTTTTCTGCTATTGAGTACTGGGAACGTCTCTACGCTCCTAGTGACACGCTTTTTCCAGAATCTCCTTTATGTCACCCAGGCTGTGTAAAACAGATGGGTCAGGAGAACAACATTCATTTATAAACCCCTCCACTGATACCATGCCTATACCACCTATCTTGCATAAATGATTTATTTCCTATACACTTATACAATAAAGACTCAAAAACCAGCATTACCATCTGCTTGTCAAAGATATGGGAGGAATCATAAAGAAATACAGGCAGCATTTAGAGCAAATCCCACATGAATTCTGTACACTTTCGTTTCATGGGCATTTCCAGTTCCAGTTTCATAGGTTAGCTACTACATCAGTGTTACTACCCTGCTCTACCAGTCACTCCTGGAAATGGTGCTCCACCCAAAAAAGTCGTTCCAGTTAAATGCTCTGTGTAAGTTGTTGCTTTATTTCATGTTCCTGGTCCTTGTAGCCCTCCTCCCCCCTTAGTATTACTGCTGTGGCAACAAAAGCCCTATAAAATGGGGCCAAGTACACCCACACATGCATTACCCCATTCACAGAAACAGATCTCCCTTTCTGTGACTGAAACTTGCTGCACAAAATTAACTAAAATGGTGCTGGCAATAATCTAAGGATGCCACCGCTTCTCTTCCTCCCTGTCACTTCATCCTCTCCCTTTTGGCTCCCAGAAGCTACAGAACATCCCCTCCCTGGACCACTTATTTTAGCAAATTATTAACATACATAGTGGTACACTGAAAGTGCTGTGCTGATTATATATGGAGAGATGCACATGCAGTTTAAGATATCCTAGCAATATCAGGCTAAGTACCTCAGCATGCTTCGCCATTGACCTCCACATGCAGTGCTTTCCTGTCTTGTTCTTTCAGATACCTTGGAACTGCATAGTAAACTATTCTGGACACAAAAAAAAAAAAAAAAAAAAAAAAAAAATTGGAAACAATTTGGAGTGTCAAAATAAAGAGGACATATGGAGATGGGGAAAATCACAAATACTGTTTAAAGACATTCCACAATATAGCCTGGGATTTTTTCCCCAAACAAATGGTTACGCCTGACAAGCACAGAGCTACCCCGATGGCATCACTACCAAGCCAATCATTAATGCAGCAGTAATAGTGATATGCACAAGTTTGATACTGTTAAATTTTTGTAAGTAAACTAAACAATCCTGTTGGTCCTCGTCATCTATCAGAATTTAAAGAAGAGCCGCAGTGTGTTCCTTGGCTTGAGAGCGTGTACGCACATACACCAGCATACGCCAGCAGTCAGTCCTCAGCCCACCGTGGGAAGTGCTGTCAAGGGCAAGTGCTCTGGCTGTGGGTGACTAGGCAACTCTGCTGCCTTCAGGAGAAGCAGAGATGACTCAAATGCAGATATTAGAAGAGATCTCAAAACTTCAAAACTAATTTTAGCAACTATCAAATTCTCTTGGCCTGCAATAAGTATTTTTTTCCTCCAGGCATTTCTTACACTGAATTTAATAATGAACAACATTAAAAAAAAAAAAAAAAAAAAAAAAAAAAAAAAAAAAGAAATAAATGCAAGTGGCATTATTTTGTTGTTAAAAGAGATAAAAATAAACTTTTAGTCTCTAACCTAACCCCTAGAGATTAGAGGATGGCATCCAAGTATTGATAGGAGATAATAGCTGAATCAAACCAGTTTCCACCCATCTAATAAACTTAATTTCCACTATGGGAGATTTTCTGTCAGATGACTGGGTGAAGTAAGTAATTTTAATCTATTTCTTATAAATCAAATTTAACCTGTGACTGCTCAGTTAAATCTCTGCTCTCCCCACAACCACATTTTGTCTGCTTAAAGAAGTAGATGATAAGACAATAGATATTGGTGGGTTACATGATGTTAAACTGGTGCTTTACATCATGCCAGCCATTTATGCACCTAGCCTTAACCTGTAAAAATAATCTTTATTTAGGCTTAAATATTAATTCAGTCAAGTGATCAAATGGAGGAAAAGGATAAAATTATTTGCTACATGAGTACACTAGCTTGCTCTATTTCCTAACTGCCAAATCAAATACTTGGCAAGGGTGATTTACTTGTTAGTATTTAGAACTGTATACATTGGGATGGTTTTTTCTGTTGTTAGAGATTTAGTGAAACTTTCACCGATACCAATGAACCAACAACAATTTCCCTTTGGCAATGCACAGTGAAATGCTACTTGCAACTGTAATGGCATAATCCAAGTTGAAGTTCCTCCCTCTTTTTTGGATCTTCCCTCCCCCCAGGTAAAATCCTGAGAACAACCCACAGCAGACATGACGAGACATATACAGTGCATTGCTGAAACTCTGAATCATGGCCTTGCCATTGAATCTACACCTATATTACATTCAGAAGGTCTCGCATTTAAGAAAAACAAACAAAAAGGATGCAACTTTATGTTTCTCAAAAGTTATAGCTTTTTTCCTCCTGTACCTGCTAAAGCAAACAAAAAACTCCTGAAAATTCCTTGTACTTTAGTTCTGAAAATAGATAATACAACCTTTTACTTGTGATAGTGCAAGCAGGATAACAAAACAAAAAAAAATTTCAAGTTGTACTGTAAAATTATTTTTCTACTGGAGCTCTATTGCATACATACAGTTATATATTTCCAAATGCAAGCCAAGACAATTGCTTAGCTATACTCGTGCAGGTAATTTAATTGACTTTAACAGACAGGTATCATGTATGTGATGAGTAAAAGAAACAGGAACTAAGGGAGTGATGTAATTACAAATACACACAGCTGGCTAGAAACATTTTGAATATAATTAAGCTTTGAGACATTATGCCAGCCAAGATGTTAATAACTGTGAAAAAAACCTGTGGGTGATTTTCATACTTATCAAAATAAGGAACTGTTGAGAACCATTAATAATGTGGGTAAATGCTGTCTAAGCTTCCCACACTCAACTCTGCCAATAAGCTTTAATTTTCAACTCCAACAATCCTGCTATTCCAGTCTGGAGCTCCTCCAGAGCAGAGATATTTAATCAAATTACATTGTGAACTTGCCCTGCAACACATTAAACAAAAAGATCAATATGTAACACCAATTTTTACCTGTTAGGCTTGCCTGGATCAAGACTTTCAACAGCTTAAGATGAACCCCACATTAAACCTTAGCATAAAGGATACTTTTAAAGCAGAAGTTAACATTTTCACATACAATTATAGAGTGAGAGTGTAAAAGGCTTAAGAAACTGTGGTATAATAATACATGCTATGAATGGTGGGAGACCCTATACTTGTGAAAGAGCAGAAACTGTTTTTATTGCTTACTCTTAAAACACTTCAGAGACTCAAAAATGATTAAAGAAACTTGGAGACAAGCATCTTCTGCCACCACACTGCCATAAGAGCTCATTTGCATCTCTTAAAAGTTGCTGGTATGTGTAATTAAAAGTAACACTTCCTCTCTTAAATAACATACCATTTCTTAAGAGCAGATAGATATGTGAACACATACTTTGTTTTTTTATTTAAGTAAATTACAAAAAATTCCTGCAAGTGTCATCTCATTTGACACACTGGCTATTCCAAGTATTTATCAGGAATGAAGCCCACAAACTTCAAAATATTTATCTGAGAGGTTCATATAAAGAATGTTTCACTAACCTTCAAAGTCCACATCCCCAACTAATTTGGTCTTTCCTGTGAGAGGATCGTGGATATAGTTGATGCCTACATCAATCACAGCTGCACCTTCTTTGACCATATCAGTTGTAATCAGCTTTGGGATACCTGGAATCATCAAGATAGATTTGGTTAACATGGCCAGGTAGTCTTAGGTCATCAGTTTCAAATTATATCAAGGAGTGTGAAGGCACGTGTATATATGCACAAAGAAGATAATTCTTTCACTTCAGTTTTTCTTGATACATCACACACAGAAAACAATTATTCCTCAATTTCATACTGTTTGTAATTATGAGAAGGAAAGGTGATATTTGTTCATTTTGACTAACTGTTTTCAGCTAAACCTGGTGTCACAAACATGGTCAACATGATCTCTATGAAGGAAGAACTTGCTGGTTTGTGGCAGTAAGTCCCTTTCATAGCATTTCCAAAGAAAAGCTGGACAATAAAGATGCTCTGCGAGCCACAAGAAACCTTAGTGTTGTCAGAGGTCTGCTGATCCAGAAGCATTGTCAACTGCTGAAGCAAGCCAGGCATATGATCTCCACAGTATTTTCTTTAATCTTTGCTTTTTTAATACCTGTATTAGATTTGTGTTACTCAGCATCTCTGATTTCTCATATACTTTACTTGTTAGCTTCACCATTTCAAGCAGTTACTTAAATAATGAATGTGAACTACATGAAATTCCACTGCTACAAAAAAACCCCAAACAAACCAAAAACCAAACCAAAAAACTAGCACGGTGAGAGAATCTGATCTATCCTGCCACCTTGGTTTTGATTCCTGTCAATTATAAGCCACAGATAAACAAGAAAAAATAAAACGGAGAGCTCAAATTTAACCATCATAAACAACATCAGCTCAATCTGTAGGAGAGAAGCAACTGACTTTCAAGTAAAACTTTATCCACCTAATCTTCTCATAAGTGTGCAAGAAAAGCATACTGGATGGAAAACAAATCGGGTAGTTGTACCCAGGTAAGAGGCTCCAATGGTACTTTATGAAAATTAAAGCATGTGCAGAGGGAGTACAAGAAGGGCCAGGTGTTTGTTTATGTATCACTAGTGCTGTAGTAGAGAACACTTATTATTTAATAGTGGCACAAAGTGCAGATGACACAAAGCTGGAAAGAACTTGAAACAGATTAGCTTAGATTTCAAGTGCCACTGGAAAAAAAGGAGTAAAGCAAAATCATTTGACATTCAACAGGGAGGAAGGAAAGATACCACATTTATGTACATAGAATTACCGCTCACAAAGTCAAGACAGCAAATGACTGGTTAGGCAGTAATATTTTAGAAAAAGAATTTGGGATTAGATCAACTGAACACCAACAGACACAATCATGCTACTGTAAAACACATGTAGAAGCCCTAATCTCTTCAACATATGACATCAGCTGGGATACCATATTCTCACTGTGGGTGATAGACTTCTCTGATCTGCCTGTTCACATCTGTATAAAATACCAAGCACATGAGGATTACAAGGAAATTTTGCAAAGAATTAACCTTTTAGATCTCATGACAGCCTTCAGGGATATTAAAAACTTTTGGCACAAGAATGCTTTTTTTCCATGTCCATGGTCAACGTGACACAAAATAATAGATTTAAATTTGATTCCCTTGCTGCACTGTCAAGAACTTTTTAACCACAAGGACAGAGAAACATTGAAGCAGAGAGTGTGCAGAGAATAAGGAAGTCTGAAAAAGCAGACTGAACTAGTATGTACAAAATAACACTTTTGGTGCACTAGTATGGACTAGATGGGCTTTCAGAAGACCATTCTCACCCTGCTTTTCTGCCACTTCCACATAAGACATAGCAAAAGGGAACCAGGGAAACCTCCTACATTCAAGCATTACTGATGCACAGAAGACACTGCTCTGTCTCTTGTACTACTTAGATAATAAGGCCACTTACACTTGGCAAACACATCTACCAAAATTTGTTCAAGGGTGGAGAATGGCAGTCTGAGACTGAATCTGGAACAGCTGAGGCTTTTCTATGTTAGTTTTTAGCACTACTACAGAAAAAAAACACCAAAACCAACAACCCAAACCAAAAACTGCAATGGGATTGGTTTTGGTTCAAAAAACAGACTTGACCAATAGGCAGTTTTAACTGTACTACTGGTAACCCTAGAGCATGACAGTGACTTTTCACAGGGGAGCTTCTACAAAACACTGTGTCCTGCTATTTATAGCAAATTGGGAGACCTCCCCTGCTTACCAAAGAGGGCCTGGCCTCAGCACTACACACCTTCATCATCGTTCAGTGGGCCACATCTGTGCAGAGTCTTGGGATACAATTTTTTTGCTATTAAGAATCTTCAGCTAAAACAGAGTGCTGCAGCAAGCTGCCTCAGCTCTTTCATGTACACAATATTCCTTCAGCACATTTAAATGTAAAGCATTTTGATATTCATCACAAAGATGTTCAACTGTCAGGACCCAGAAAACCTAAAAGGTCACTTCAAGTTCCAGATAAATGGCTGAGTCAATGGCTCTCTGTTTCCATTCAGCACAGCTGAGCTATCTACATACATAGCAAGAGACACCAGAACAGTTACTTAGGTATTGGAAGAACTTAAGTACAAAAATGACAACTGAATTACACACAAAATCTTACCAAAGGGTGTGGCAAACCACCATTTTGTAAAGCAGTAGACCTGAACAGTACATGCCTTTGACTTTGTAAAGATCACTGCTGCATGGGATTTCACACTGCAGGTAGCACCACACATTTACTTGAAGGAGATCAGTCTCACCTAGCTCACCCAATGTGCTGAAGCTAGAGATAACATTTTTATGGCATGCCAGCAGCTCCAACTTGATGCACAGAGAAGACCTCCTTTTCAAGAACAGGAGTTCAGCAGGATCCCTCTTTGCAGAGAGCAATTTTAATTACAGGAGATGCTATCTTAGAACAAATGTACTAGTACTGCTTTACAGAGGCACCATGTGTGACCAGATGACCAAAAGTTTATGTCTGGACAGTCACAACAAAGGAAGTGTCTCTGGAATATTAACTCAAAGCAGTATACGAGACCAAAGTCAACGCATGCTACCTGAGAGACAAGAATATCAAGTCCTTGTCCATCATCTGCATTAGCCTATCATACCTTTACTGCAACAATCTTTCCTCTGTGTTCACTTTAAATGACCTAAATTTCTTTCTTACCATGCAACCTCCACCTTTGAGTGACAAGAAATTCCAACTTTAAGATTACAATTCACCTTATTTCTTGAGCAATTCTGTCAGTTCTATGTTCCCTGAGGAATGTTCATCCTAGTAACAGAGTATCTCCAAAGGGGAATCTATGCTCCCCTCTTCCCCACCAAAGCAGCTTTCTCTCCAGTGGAGAGAATAAAAAAAAGGAAAAGAAATCAAATTCATATCACTCGAGACTGTAGTTTTACTGGAGGCAAGCACTGGTATACAAGGGCTTTGGCTCCATTTAAAGTGCTGGATGTCAGCCAATTTAGTCATTAAGATACAGGCAATACAAGAACCTTCTTTGCTCGCCATTTCTCACTCCCCCATAGGACACAAGCTTGAAACTCTGCTTCTAATGTTAAGCAAGCCAAGACCTCAAATTCTTTCCTATGCCACTTGATAACATCTGGCTGCATCTACTTCATCACACTCTTATGCAATCAATTGCAAGCTGGCTGGTAATTGGATAATGCCCCAGCCTTATGGGGGTAAATGATCTGTGTGTGATAGGGATGGAAGCATATTAACGGAAGCTGCACAGTTACACCCTTTGTAAAACAGTTTGATAATAGGCCAAATACTTAATAGCAACAAATAAACTAACCCCCAAACCAAATGAGCAGATCTATTTACTTAAGCCTACTTTACATGCCAAGTAGGAAGAGATAAGCATTAGAGCAACTATTCCTAAAATGCACTGACTGAAGAATGTGGGAAAACCTTTCACTGGTAATTTTTGTAACAAATGATGAATCATGCTTTAACCAAAAGAGAAACAAAACCCTATCTAGTCCCATCTTAGTTACAAGTACCATAAAATAGCCAACTCCCGAGAAAGCTAACCAGCTAAAATGGCCTGAAAAATCAGCAGTTCCCATACAAGAGGACCACTGATCACATCCCAAGGGACAGCGCAAGCAGTCCCAGAATAATTTCATCTGGCATTCGGCACCCCCCGTTCCTTCTCCTCTTTGCCACCTCTCCAAACCTAGCATGAAGATGAGTCTTTTCTCTCAAGGCAGACTAGTAAGCCAAAAGACAGCAGAAGCAGCAGGTTGACTAGTCAAAGACTGCCTACTACCTCCATCACCGCTCTGGAAGCACTGTGGTGGCTACACAAGAACCACAGATAAAGTTGCACTTATTCTTGTACTACGGGTCTGGGCCAGTGACAAGGAGAACAGAATCTGTGGGATTTCTGTATAGGCAGGGATGGTGGGCAAAGATAGGAAAGCTTACCATGGGATACAAAGTGCTGGGTGTGCTTAGGAAGAAATATTATGCTCTGGCTAGAAATGCAAAAGCTGCATGGTATTGAAAGAGTTTAGGAAGCTCCACCTGGAAGCAGAGAGAGATATTTTTACGGAGAGGTAGGTTGGACAAGAGCAGCATTGTTGGAACTTATGATGCAAGAAATTGGGAGCAAACAAGTGCGAAGGAATAAACTGCACAGATAGCTGTAATCAATGTAAACAGGAAAACTGGGGTCCCAAGGCTGGGGGTGAATGAGAGACAACATATGAAGATGGGTATTCTCAAATTCAGGAGTAAAACCACAAACATCTGATTTGAAGCATTACAAAAGCCATGAATGCAAGTGAACAGAAAACCCCTCAGAAACAGAGTACCACATCAGAATGAAGAGACTCACTGCAACAAGTCACCAAATCAGGAGACAGAATGCAGATGGCTCTTCTACACATATTACATGGGAAGAGGAGAATGAGAACAGGAACCTTGCTCTTATATGCAGACACACACAAAAAGCTGTTTTCCATTTGCACATCTTGCACAGTGGCCTCTGACAGTATCTGTTTCTACCTGACAGGATAGAAGTTACCTTTTTTTGCAACACTCACTGAACAGGTCACACATTTCCAGGCAATCTGTGATCCCAAAGGTACAATGTGCACAGTTCTCAAATAACAAGAGGAAACTTGAAGGGATTCCACCTTTCTGAAGGATAATCTTCCCCAGAGCATCCACTGGGGCAGGGCTGCATACTGTTTGCACAATCTAGCCCTAGGTTTTTTCATCATTCCAAGTATATCTCATGTTGTGTAATGAGTGTTTTATCATGCTCTTGTTACAAATGACACGAGGAAAATAATGTGAAGAACAAACACGGCTGAATTGCTACTGAACAGTTTAACTACAAGCATAAGTGATGACAAACTATGTTCAGCATAAAAATCAGAAGTGATGATTGAATTGGAAGCCGTGAATTTGGATGAAAAGTTATGAGTTTATTGCCAGTTAGCACTCACATTATTATCTTTCATTCACAGTGCATGAATTCTGGTCAGGCCCGCAGCTGAGTAATCACATGTGGGACAACTGAGCTGTTCCTTGTTCCTGACCTGGCATTGAGAATGAGATAGTGCATTTAAGCCCTTAAGCAAAAGACATCTCACTTCAGCAGGAAGTGATGAGCTTTAGACAGGTACCTATCTGTTTTCACCTAGAGAATCAGTAAGCAAGACTCTGGTCTTGAGGATGATGAAGAGGGAGGAAGAGAGGAGAAAGGAGGAAAGACACAATCTTCTTGTACTCCTCCAAAACGCTATGAGAGAACAAGGATATCCTGAGCTGTGAGGGGACACAGAATTTTAACAAAGTTTTTTGTATGTTGGATTGTTTTATTTTCTTTTTAAAAATTAACTTATATTTCTATTTATAATATCCATAAACAAACATCAGAGGTTGCTCAGAAGCAGAATTCTGCTTGTTTCTTTGTTCTAGACTAGTCAAACTGCAAGTATTTCACTCTACATTGCTTTAAGAATATAGACACTGATCTTTCAGACCCCCTCCTCTAGGCAATTACCATTCTCTTCCTTTTTACATGACAACTGTAAAAGAAAAAAAAATAAATTAATCCATTAATAACATGCTACCAAAACTTCATTTGGCAAGGTTGCCCTTAATTCCAACAGCGAGGGAATGATAGCATTGTTTTATGAATGCAGCCTCCAGCTGATTTAAAGAAACCCTCCTGTCAAAATTTAAATGACTCATGATTTTTGAACTGCACAGAGAATGTTTTAATTTACATAATTATACCTGTATAAACTATGCACTGACTGGTTCCCAATCTTGAGTTCACTCTAAAGTCTCCCTAAGGGAAAGGTGTCACATGTGACGAGAAACAGTTTATGAGTCTGCAAATGTGAAGGGCAAGAACAAAGAGCCAAATCACCTGCCCTTCTTACAACAAGAAATCCTACTTAATGCAACACCCTCAGCAAGCACGAGCACCAATTATTTGGTGAAACGTGAAATAGCTAGTCATGCCACCAACACAGACACCAAAGTCTACTTTTTAGGTTTTAAATGTTGCGATTAGAGTATTAACAACAACTGGTATTACCTGCAGCTACTATTACAATGTCAGCAAGTTGTGTATGGATCTTGAGCTGCTCTTTTGGTGTGTATCTGTGAGTAATGGTCACCGTAGCATCACCTGAAAGTAAGAGATTATCAATTAATTGTCACGTATACAACGCCTGTATAGCATTTGCTTTCAGGCAAAAATGACTGAATTTGGTACGTTAACAACAGTACAAATTATCATCAGATTTGTCTTGGGATGCATCATTTATTTCAGCATAAGCAAAACACTCATAACACTTGCTGTTCACACATATGAAAAAATGTTTATTCTTAAAAATTCTCACAGGATGAATTAATTTATACACTATGGACTAACTTATTCCTTAATTGACTTCATTATGTTTAGTGGAATTACACAGTAAACCCAGCATGGAATCCAGCGTCTACCTCATTAAGCATGATCTGTGTACTGTGCCGTAAGATTCAGATGTCTGTCACAAACTAAAGTTTCAAGTACAAGATCACAACGCTCAGATCTCTGTCCTCAACCACATTTGTTATTCATCTGTCCTGAAGCTTCCTAGATGCTTCCCTTGACATTGTTGTCTAGACAGGAAGGAAGACAACAGTCTTCCCTGCACCTGTGACCTGACCACGTTTCCCTCAAGTCAAAGTTTAGTTTTTGGCCTGTTTTTGTGACAGATTTTGAGTGCTCAAGAAAGAATGGGTAATTCAAGTTCAGTGAAGTGGCACTATTTCTTACAGATATTCCCTCTCTCAAGAATTAACACTGCTGATAATCTGGCCAACAACAGATGACAACAACTGAAGCTCTTTGTAGGGCGTGACTGTGTAGGGAATGAGTGTAGGAAAACAAGGATACTCCTGGGCCTAGGGTCTTTGCTTAGAAACCCTGCCATAACTGCATGCAAGGGTCAGACAGCAAAATCCCTCTCTTGACTGGAACACTACCAGATTTCATCAAGGAGAGGCATTTTGGAACAGACACACGGAACAATCAACAGCAGCATCAGTATTTACAAAATTCCATTTGAATGGATCTGAAAAGGTTTATCATCGTAGACACCTAAGGAATCAATACATCCAATGCATATATTTTTCCACACACTCAAAGCATTCCAAGTCATCATTTTATGGAGCTCAAGTGCAACAACAGGAATGGAAAAGACTGGACAAAAAGGTACTCAAATTTTTGCAGGTGTCCTACTATCTCTTCTGTCTCCCAATAAGATAAAACCAGCTGAAGCCTTACTTCACACCAGAGTAGGAAGTGTTTGAAGTTATCACAAATAGATGCACACATCCTTTTGGGCAAACTCAAAAGCTCTGGGACCTGCTTCTGCATGTATCTATATTTCTTGGCAAGAACCTACAAATAAACCCTCCTAGTAAGACATGAAAAACCTTGTGCATCTTTGATGGAAATACCAAGGAGAGACCACTACACACAAAATGAATTGGGGATAGGGACTGAAGTCTCATACTGCATCTAACAGGAAGTATAGTGATCCCTCAAGGACTGTCCAAGAAAACAGCAATGATAACAGCTATCAAAGGAGATTCCTCCCAACACTCTCACCGTCAACTATTGTACTGTACAGTGTTCAGGTGTTACATCCCCCCATCTTCACCTTCCACTCATCATAGACTCCTAAACCACATTATTAATCATTAAACTCAAAGTATTTGCCATCTCAGATGTTACCACCACATCTGTTTCTCCTTCTGGAATGTGTCTGACTGATGTAATCTGTGCCTCTCATCTCATTAACTCTCTTATTCAAGCATCTCATCTTCAACCTGTCTGTGCTCTCACTTCTCTGCTCTTTTCCCTCATCTTCTCCTTCAGTGTCTACAATGCACATCGTCTCCTAAAGAGAGGCAGATCAAGACATTTTCACATAATGAGAACAGAAAAGTAGAGATGTGCATAAGCAATTCCATGAAATAAGTGGAACTGCCAGAATTTAGAAGTCTCTCACCAACTTCCCATGAATTTAAGTGCCTTTAGAGCTTAGACAGCTAATAGTCTTAAAAACTAAAAAGCCAATACATAAAGCCTTCATGTCAAGATTCCTTCAGCTTCCTTCCTTGAATACCTTTGGGATCATGAAATAACAACTCAGACAAAATAATTGGGACAGGACCTAAGTATCACTCATTGATACTCCTCATTTTGCTAATCTAAAGCGGCATGTCCTCAGCTGCTGATTTGTTTATATGTAGGCCACATACATACTTGAGTGAGCAGCATACAGGCTGTAGAGATGGTCAAAGTTTTCTTTCTTTGGAGGCCTCATTCTCCAAATTATATTAATAATTATATTATATTATTAACAAATCACTTTGCCCCCTGCAGAAGAACCATGCCCATTCTTTGATGTGACAAACCTTCCTTTTCCAGGCTAATGCTCTATCAGTCACACTAAAACTTAGGGATTCTCTGAAGGGCCATCCTTCACACATGAAGGGCAAATAGACTTATCACTGGATTCTGGAAAGAAAGGCTTGAATAAAATAGAGGAGTCTTCTGATATCTATTTTAAGCAAAAGAAGGATGTCTTGCCCAACATCACAACCATTACTTCCAAAAACATACACATAATGAGATTCTTCTGACCTCTTATGCTGTTTGCAACAGAGAGCCTGAGAAAAACCAATGGATAAAACTCAAAGTTAGAAATATTCACACCTTCTGAGAAATAAAATCAGTGTTATTTTCCCATCAAGATTGGAATGTGTCTGTAGTCAGCTCCTGAAACCAAGTAATTGCTCTCACTACCAAAACGGAAGAGGAAAGAAAAACAAACCAAAACAAACAAAAACCCTACCTTCAGAATAGCAGTCCAGAAGCTTACAGACACCTCAGAAAAGGAAGGTTTTCCATTTATTTGTGATCATGCCAAAACAGAAAACAAACAACTATTTTTACACTGCTACTTCTGCTGAAAGAAGAGGAATATATTTAGCAATTAAGATTCTGCATGATACTGCTGAGTCAATTCACTAGCTTATAAAACAGAGATAGTCTCTTGACCTGCCTACAGAAAACACAATTTGTTTTGGAAGGGTTTAGTTAGCTTCCCATCTGATCAGATATTGCCACCTGCAGGACATTACAGTTTCTACATACATCACAGATTAAGATAGATGGGCAGTTTTCCAGTTTTGTTCATAATCTGTAAAATACCAACTAAACCTACAACAAAAACAAAAGAAAAAAAATAGTATCACTTCCCCCCTTTGAATCATTTCTCAATAAAAATTATTTAATCACATCAACCCATTTGCTGATAAAACCCTATTCTGACTGATAACATGATAAAGTTCTTTTTCAGCACTTAACTGTAGGTCTTGTCTAAAAAGAAAGAATAAATACTTCATTTGTATTAACAGGTTAAAATTTTTCTAAACACTTGCTCCAGATGAAAGCCTGCCTTTGGTAAAATATAAAAGTAGCATCTCTGACATGTGATTTTCAACTCCAAAACACACTTCACCTAGAACCTTATCACACTTGGCAAAGCTACCTTACCTGACGACTCCTGACTGCTGTCTCTGATCATAATGCACAATTTTTGCCCTGCTATTACCTGCTAAGAAAACAGGTGGAAAAAAGTATTCCATTTAAGCTATTATTTTTATTATGTTCACATTTCCTTTAGTTCCACCTCCTTTATCTTATTATACTTTAGCTTTATGATTTCTCTTTCATTGTCTATCTCAGCTTTCTCAACTGCCTTCAGTTTCTTCTGTCATGATACATTCAGAAATTCTGATAGCATTGAGGTAAAGCTGAAGCCACCGCCTAGCCTGCCTTCCCTTCCACATGCTGTCCAGGCTGGCCTCTTGTTGCTTAGAGCAGAGCAGAGCAGAAAGCTAACTACAGAAGGCCAACCAGACCTTAAAGGACAGCCCAGTCTGTGAGTCAGGAATAAAAACTACACTTGACTACCACAACTATGAAAGCATTTTTCACCATGCACATGACAAATACATACTTAATGATAATTTATTGTGAAAGAAAGGCAAATGTTCCTCTTTTTTTTCCCCTCATTGCCCACTGCTTTATAGTGTATGCTGCCACTTGGCAGATTGGAAAACAAGAAAAATAACTTTAAAAATAAATCCCTTTCTTCAGAATAAGCAAAGATAACTTCAATGAGGTAACTCTTTCTACATCTAGATTCCAGCATCATTGTCAGTAAGGGAATATCCAAACGATATTCTGTCCCTACGTACAGTACTTGACATACGTAGCATCAATAACAATGCCAGGAAATAGTGCTGCCAGTGAAGTAGTGCGTAGTATGTCTGGAATCTGAGAATACACACTTGATTGTGAAGCACAAAGTTCCTTCACAGGCCAACAAACTCATGGACTAGCCCCCCAAAACAAGTCATACTTCCAAGCAGGCAGATAAGAACTACAAACCCAGGATGCAAGTGAACAAAACTGAGCCACAAATCCAACTAACTGAAAAGCTTAAAGCTACAAAACAGTATTTAGTTACAGCTAAAAAAACATCCATGTAACTACTATAAGTTTTGTAATAAGTTGATGAAAGAATCGTGGGTCACTAAGTCTCCTCATTTCCAACTGGGAAACATGCAAGTAGTTTGCAACATAACTCTGTGTTGTATAAAGCCCATTTCAAACATCAAACTGCACTGCCAGTAATATATATAACCCACTATTTGCAGCAAATTGCAAAAATGCTACTAATTTTCATGGGAATGGGGAAGAGACCAGAACTATGCACTGATGGTAATTACAATTCCAGCACTGAGAGAAATTTCAAATAGCAACTTTCCCACAGAGGCTGAATGGAAAAACCAACTCTATGATTAGTAAGAAGCTTTTAGTGTTTTATTATATTAATAACAGATTTCACTCCACTCCTATTAAATAAGCCTGGGACTAAACATTCATGTTTACCTCATTTGCGCACATCACTGTGGCAGTTTCTAACATCAAAATGAAGTTGCAAAAGGACAGTATTCTATTGAAATTATATTTGTTTTTCTTTCTACAGCACAATTACAGCAGCACATGCATGCTTCTATAATTAGAATTACTTTAAAATATTTCCATTACAACACCCAATTTCCAGGGGGAAACTGCACTGCAAAAAAATCCCCCAGGCCAACATGTAATATCATAGAGCTCGCACTGAAAAGTTACTTGTTGGCCATTCGGATATTTTCATAGTCACCACCTAAATAATGCAGCACAACACAAGAATAGTGTAATATATTTATATATATGTATATATATGTGTAGGTATATATATATATGTGTGTGTGTGTGTGTTTGTGTATGAAAAACTTTAAATTAATATTACATAAACATGAGTATAAGGCATATAGCTATATTACTTTGTATAAACATCACATGAACCTCTGTAGCTCTTTAAGGCCACATCATTCAGTGATAATTGTGTTTAAAGAGTAGCTGTTCAATGGAGGACAAAATGATGACAACACACCAGAAGTTGTCAAGCCCAGAAACTGCTCTCCTGAGAACACATCAGGAACTACATATAGCAAGTTTTTCCTTCCTCTGGTTGCCAATATTGTACAAGAGACAAAAGCTTTCCCTTTTTATCTGAATCCTCTGGTCAGCTTTATTTTAATGATTTCACAAATGGAAACATTAAAACAACATACTTTGACTTACCTCCAGGCCTTTCATGCTCTCCATCAGTATGTAAAAGCATTGAAATAGGCATTCCAACATTCTTAGATCTTCCAGCTACAACAACATTTTTTCCAAATGTTTGTATTCCTTATAGGGGAAAAAAAAGCAGCAAACAAAACCAAAAATAATCAAAAAAAAAAGTATTCCGCTATTTCTGTATCCCTAAACCCTTCTTCTCAGTCCCTCAGATATAATTATTTGCTGCTGTGGACTGCTGACTTCAACATGACTTGAAAATCCACAAGGATTAACTTGAAGGATGAATCCACAAAACAACTTTCAGCTTTCACCTTAGAGAAACAAAATTGGTAACTCATTCAGATCATCTGAATCACCATCCAGAGGGACTTAATTTGTTTTTTCTGACCAGAAAGGGAGATAGAAGCTCTTATATCCACCAATTAGAACACATGCATTATACTTACAAAATGACAAGTATGAAATACATATGCATTCTTTTCCTCTTCTAGTACTGAATTAAATGTTCCCATTTTTGTTCTTGTTTCTTCCCTTCCCCCATAAGAATTTATGCATTCCAATCTTCTATTTGATAAACGATCAGGAGGGGATCAGCAATATCACAGAAAGTTCCTTGCAACATTATGAAATGCCGAAAATAGGTTACCAAAGTGTTTCGCCAAGTATTCTATGTGGACTACTGTCTACACTTAATAGCTATGTTACTGGCAAAAGATCTCATCTATTTGGCACCTCCTTTTTATTTAGATTAATCCTTTAAATTCAGTCAGCCCAATACTTTTAGATAACCCATACCTTTTAACTCACACCTAACTATCCTTCATTCATCTTCCAAGATAAAAAGAGTTTCAATACAGTTCAGTTTCTTACCTGTCCTTTTTATCATTTCCCACACGGCAGCAGCAGTGGCAGGTATTATAGAAGGCTGATCAAGACACAGACGTCCGATATTCATAATATGAAATCCATCCACATCCTTTTCAGGTGCAATAGCATTACAAACTGTTCGTTCATCTATGTGATCTAGGAAACACATTGCTTTCAAATTACAGTTCTTTCACTTGTCAGGTGTCATCAATACTATCTGAATCATTACACAGAGAAACACACAGGTTTGGTCTAGCCAGGGTAATTATTAGTATTCATTATGAATAAACTACACTCCCCCTCTAAAGGCAGCAGTTACAACCTCACTTTTTAAAGTCATATACTGAAAATTAAATGATTCAGTTTATGACAGATTCAGCCAAAATATGAGAGGCCAATACTCAGCTGAGAAATATGACTTAGTAACTATAAAAATAAATGTTTAAGCAAGACACTTCAGAGTCACTTCTGCATTGTGGAATTGTTAACTATCAAGTGGTTAAAAAAAATAATCATAGAAGAAAAGTTATTGTGCATGTTACCTGTCTCAGATCACAAAGGATACATGACCTAAGTTTTAAACAAGTGTAAGGAAACCCTCAGCTGAAATAACTTTGCAGGTCTATCTTCCATTTTCCAACAATACAACTGTTTCTAGTAATTTTCTAATCAGTAGGGCCAAAACGTACTTAATCAGAAAACTCTGAGAACGCATAAAACTGTTTGATATTGATGAGCTCGAAACCTTAAGAATGGCTTAAATGACAATAACCTGCACATAATTTATTATTTATATCTATTTGCAATGAACATTTTTCATATGCACTATTGGTATGAGATAGGTCTGCAACCACTTAAAGCTTATACTGAATAAACACTGCTACTGATTATGAAAAAAAAAAAAAAAAGCATTAGCCAGTCCTAGCTCAGCAAAAGTTACAAACCCAAGACAGTCCAGAGGAATAGCTCTATAAAACATCCCCATACTGACCCAGAAAGCAAACTTTTGTTTAATAAATATATTTACCCAGTGGTACCTCAGTCATAATTTTTAACTCATAAAATAGCTTGGGTTAGAAGAGACCTTGAGAGGTCATCTAGTCTAACCCCCCTGAGCAGGGACATTTTAGTCTATTGCATCAATAAAGTCCCAAATCACTTCCAGGATTACACTTCCAGCTTTACTTCCATCCCAGAATTACTGTTTTTTGCAACTTTTATATAATGTTACAATGCTTATTCTAGGCTAGATCCCTAACAGAACTCTGCAATTGTAAGGCAATATATCGCAAAGTCCAATTCAGGGAGCGTAACAGCATATTTTGAAAAGTCAAATAAAGGGAAATGAGTGTTGATGACAAAATTCAGACATTCCCAGTAAAAATATTTTATAGACCTATATTGAATGTCTGAATTTAGTAGTCAACTAGCTCTACTGAAGTATTTTGTGATTTTGCATTAAAAGGAGCTAGTTAATGAAAAGATATTATGCATGTTATAAAACCTAAAATGTGGTAATCTCTTGTTAAAAGATTTTTAATTAAAAAAAAACCCCTAGAGTTAAACCAGACTGTCATGATTTATGATTTAATTCTCCATTTTCTGATGGGAGAAGGTTTCCCTCTGAATCCTAATGAGAAAGGTCTGTGGAATTAAGATGTTAAGTCCATTGATGAAAGAGTCTCTTAGAAGTCAAACTAGCCTAATCCAGATTGAGGGCAACCATAATTTTGTTTTTATGTCAACTTGGGGAATAAAAAAAACAAATAAGAAAGAAATTTGCAGTAACCTATTGAACAGTTTTTGCAGAAGAAAACTTGTTAACCTTAGGCAAGTTGTTTGTTCATCAAACAAAAACTTGGCAGCTATGTTTTTCCTTGTGCCTAGGATAGGACAGAACACTGCTCTGACATAACTCCTCATTGCTGTCTGTCTTCAGCTTCCCAGAAATAGACAGATAGTACATACATTAATGTAAAAGGGAAAGAAATCATGCTTTACATGGATTTCCCCACACACACTCAAAACCGATTTGCAGCATTTCAGAAAAGGGCACACAGTACTGGAAAGAAATGCAGCTGCATAGCTGTATGTGGGAGAAGTAGGCTGACATGGGCCTGAGAAAAGAGGATGTGGACACTTTCCCTTCCTCAGAGACACTTTAAAACACTACCTTGGGCAGGCCACCCACAAACAAACAAACAAAAGCAATTCAAACTGTATAGACAGTTACTATGTTCCTTAATGAGGAGATTTTATTTGCCTCAAGAAATGTATTTTCTTGGTTTGTTTCCACTTGACTGCAGGTAGCCTCATTTCTTTCCAGAAGAACAAAGTCATTTCTTAAGTACGGTACTGTCAGTCTCATAGAACATCCTTAACCTCCTCTCAACTGATAACCATACCTGCTGTGATTCCAAGCTCCTCTCTGCACTCATCTTTCACTTGTTAACCAAACTTGCAAGACGACACCAGGCATCATTTGCCCAGCTACTCTGACATACACACATGTAAACCCTTGTTTACGCAATACACATGTGCCTCTAACCTTGACATACAAAAACTAAAGTCTGATTTTCAAAAGGGGAGACTGATGAAAATAAAAACATAGCACAAAAGCGATTCAAAAACATGCCATATGCATCAAAAAATACAGACACAGAGCAAGAAGGAAGCTGTTCAGCAGCAGCAATGAGCTCCCTGGAATTAACTTTGAGAAGCTAAAATGATAGCAGTGTCTCAGTGTAAGTCAGTTCCATCAAACCAGGCTGCACTTAGGCTGGCACAGACTTTCAGAACAGAAGGATATCATGTTTGTGCTCATGTGTCTCATACTCCTTTGCTGCTTACAACTAAGAAAATTTTGAGGTTTTCATATTCTATCTCAAATAAATACCTAACATTACATAGCTATCTTCCAGGCAATTAAAAAAAAAAGATACACGAAACTCTCTACAAAACTCTACCACATCAGAAGTAATGCACTCAAAAAGGTGCATAGAAAGGAAGTTTTCCTCAGGCAAAGATGACAATCCTCAAAGTTAAGTTGCTCCAGCTCACAAAAGTGAAAGAGAACAAAGCTGTTTTCTGATTCTATTTTTATCCCAATGTTGATCAAAAGCCACACCTGTGTGTGGTTCACTACAAAAAACCTAGAACCCCACATAACAACCTCAACTCTGGAATAAACAGCCTCCACTGATAAAGTTTTCACAACTTCTAGGTTTTGTCTTCTTACATTACAATGCAAATCAAAAGTATTTTGAAAAATGAGCTCACAGCTTTCTGTCTGTGTCTGAAGTTCTTCTGGGAGAAAAAATAATAATTCAGTAATCACTTGTATCTGACATCTATTATGGAAAGAACTTCCTGAACATTTTCAGTTCATGATAACTTGAGTATTTAACTTTACTATAAAGACAATGCAATATTGAAAATGTTCTGCTAATGATTAAATTACTCTAAAGTTTTTACTAAAGCAGGCAAGAGCCAGGCCTCAAACTACAAGTTTTATAGTTCAGAAGGCAGCTAATTCGTCTTCAGGTAGTTCTTGAGATACCAAAGTTCTTGAGAGGGATCTTCAACCAATTACTTTAGTGTACTAGCATCAGACGTTTGAATTGACACAGCTAGAATTATCTTCAGGGTTTTTTTCTTTTCAGAAGTTAAACAGGTTTAAATTCACTAAGTTTCAAGACTTAGGTCTGTTGTTGAACTATGTATTGACAAAGGCAGACAGCTCAAGACCAGACTGTAATGATCTTACATTCTCCTCAAAAAAATACATTTCTGCAAGCAGTACCTAAAAATTTTACCGAGTACCCACACAAGCAAGACAAGTGACACATGACACCTCATTTCTGGGGAACACAACAACGGATTGGGAGTCCAGTGGATGAGTCCGTTTCCTTTGTCTGAAGTATTTAACAAAGATCTCCATCCCTAGGCTGTCAGTGCTCCATCTTTTGCATGAGTTCTTACTACTGAAATGAAAATTTGTTACATTACCTGTTACCCTAATCTGTTCGTAGTGGAAGAGATGTTTGTTCAAAGTAAAGCGATCACATTCCATCAGCTGCCAGAGTTCCTCCATTGCTGTTCAAGATTTCACTCTCCTTACCTGTGTTATACTTCCACCTTGTGGCCAATTTACTTCAGTAAGTGGCCGATTTCAGTTAGCTTTCACATAATACGAAGTTTAACAAACGCTGATGTTTATTAAAAATACAAAGAATCTCTTCCTCTGTAACAGCCAGCACCTGCCCCAATTTTTGCTGTTTCATAAGCACAAAATAAACCTAGCAAGAACTGTCTGAAAGTGAGGACCAAGACTAGGAATAAGAGTGGAAAAACAAAGAGCTTAGCTGGAAACAAAGCATCAACTTCATTATCATCAGAGACACTTATAAACAGTAACCCCTGGAGTCTTAGCTAGTGCTAGAAATCATGCCTGTACATGTCAAAAAGGCAGCTCCTGCCCTTCACAGCATACAGGATAAATGTATGTTAAAAGACAATGTTTGGAAACACAGAGACGGGGGAAACCCAACATGCCAGTCAATTTACTACAATGACTCTAGTAATTGAGGCACCTCCCCACTAGGAAACATATAGTGGTTTAACTAAGTTGACTTACAAAGATTTAGATGAAAACTGCAGGTTTTATCACTGCCAAAATAGCATTTTGTCAGCTACTGCCAAGTGATAGTGAGATTTTATTGTAAATTAGGATAAGGGAAATAACAAACAAGAATAGAGGCTTTTAAGGACCTTAACAGAAAGCTCACCTGGAACATTAGGGTCAGCACAGAAAACATAAACAAATGTTTATAGGCAAAACTTTGAATCACAGGGAAAAAGGCTGCAGCATTGTAGGTTAGATAACATAACTTGGCATGATATAGGAGATGAAAATATGGCAAAGGTCTTGGAGTTCAAGGCAAAACAGTGCCACATGTTAAAAAACAAAATAAAAAAGTGAAATCAACTGGATAAAGTGTGTGTGTGTGTAGGGAAATTCCTCGAGATAGCATTCTGACTTTTATAAAAGAGGCAAGGTTGACAATATGAAATGATTCTCATGATTTAGTTTGCATTTTGGTTTAAAATGAACTGCAGGCTAGCATACAACAAAGATTTTAACATCTCAACTTTCAAGAGCTTCTTATGTCACTAAGATATACTTGCAACCCAAAATTGTCAAACTCTTTCCTTGTAGATTGACTGTACATGAGGATTGGGACAAAAGATGTCACCTACCTGGGAGAGGTAGCTGAACTAACAAACCAGTAACTGTTGAATCCTTGTTCAGTTTTACGGTCATATCTAAGAGTTCTTCCTGAGAAACATCTTTAGGCCTCAGTATGATCTCACTAGAAATGCCTGATAAAAATCAAAAACAGAAGACATATATTAGTATCAGGAAATTTATCTATGGACAGCTTAGCAATTTTGACTAAAAATCTGTCCGATGATTAACAACTGTCTTAAGTAACCATGTAGGACCTGCTAAAAATGATGCTTTTGTTGCCTGATCTTTAATGCTGTATTTCTAGAAGTCAAATACAATCTTACAATGAAACATACAGGAAAAAAATATAAATCTATAGTTGGGCATAGTAGCTCCAAAATTAAACAAGTTTAGAAATATTTGGAAAATAAAAAATGTAACTTTTCTGCAAATGTGTTCTTGAGAATTACGACTAAAACTAAACAGATAAAGCTACATGAGCACTACTGGCATTTTATCTGAGAGCTCTTCTACTTCTGTGTAACAAAACTCATTGTTAGAAAGGAAAATTTTTCAAGTTACTTCACAAGATTGCAGTTTCACTGACAGCAACAAGATTTAAGTTCCCTGTTTAGGCTATGATCCTCTCTCATTTGGAGATGAGATTTTGTAGTGACTGGGCTTTATCCTGGATACTCAGTCACTTAGCTTTACTGTTTGATTTCATTATGTCTGAAATTTTGCCCTTCATATTCAGAACTGTGAAGACTTAGTTTTGGATTGGCTTGCCTGGCTCTACTGTGGACCTAAAGCATTCAACAGGAAAGATATTCCATGAGATACAGCAGATGCACATGAAGATTGACATTATGAAGAAATTATTGACATTATGAAGAAAAGGCTCTTTCTCCATATCTTTCTGTGAAGCCAGTTACTTAATCACTGTTCACATCAATTCTGGGGTAGTGGGATTTGCTACCACAGTTGGAGGTGGGCTGAAAAATTCACATATGAAAGCAGGAATCTAACAGGTACTGAGGAGACAAGCTTTTAAGCAAATATTTCACATTCAAAAATAATCAGAAGTTGCAGAAACAACTACAAACTGATGTATATTCTCTGATTATCGTTATTCACCAAGCCTCTCAAAGCCAGTTAAGACGTTTAACTGTCAAAAAGCTTTCCCAACGTTCTCCTTTAGTTTCCAATTTCTAGCACTAAGGATGCAAACTGTTTCTTAACAACATCTTAAGACACCAAATTGAACTTAAATCTACCAGTGATGTGTCATTAAAGCTACTTCTTTAATTTCATCAGAGAAGGAAGAAAACAGTGCAAAATTAAATTCAGACACAAAGGGGTCCATCTGTCCCCCTTTTTTTAGTTGTTATTTTTAAATAACAGTATCTTGTGCTTACCAAAGGATCATCATGCTATGTACCACATACCTACAGCTGCAGCTGCTTTTATCTTGTTTCTGACATAGATATGACTAGCTGGATTGTCTCCTACTAATATGACAGTGAGATGAGGTCTCTTGTTTCCAGAGGATATCCACGATTCTACATCCCTTTGAACTTCTTTCAAAACTTGTTTAGCAAGCTTTGTCCCTGAGATAATGGTTGCTTCATCACTATAAAGACAAAAAGATACACAATATTTAGGTCTAAAATTTCATCAACAAGATACTTCTAAGTGTGTGTTCTACCACGTTAAATACCTGCAAATCCTTTGATTACTTAATTTGCTAGTATTTCAAACATTTTTTGAAAAACACTACCGTGCTACAAATCCACCTGTGGAAAGAAGTGCTTCCCCACTCTCTTAATTGAAGAACAGGAATGTGCCATCAGTGCATACAGAAGAAGAGCTCACCTGCCACACCCCACCTTCCCAACACGCAACGCCAGCCAGGTTGAATGTATTTATCAACTCCTGTATTTGGGAACAGAACATGAGAATGTTCCTATGTCCTTAAGTTTTTCTGTTTTAAGAGATTTTTACCCACTTCCCTTCCCAAATTTCCTTCAAAGAATCTATTTGGTATGAGATTATTCATACCTCTTTTGTCCAAGGCTAGAGGATACTATTTCCCAGCTTTCATAAGACTTAATTCATATAAGCCAGTGGTGACTAACTCAGGAGCCTAACATGCTTTCTCTGCTTTTGTCCTTTCAATTCCCAGTCCTTCCAGTAACCTCCCTCTGCCCCTCAACCAGCAATACAGCAGACATACATCCTCCTTGGGTGAAGGGCCCACAACCATTGCCCTGCCCATGTAGAAAAGCAAAGGAAAACTGAAAGTCTTGTGCCTTTAACTTGTCCCAGAACTTCTCAGCCCCACTCTTTGTCATTGCTGTGATCACCACCCCAACCAAGGATGTGGAAAATCCCCCCCCCCCGCCCCCCCCCAATAAACAAGAAACCTCCAGCATGTATAACTTTCAGATGCTAAGATGTTAATTCCTCTTCTACCAGAGAAGCAGCCTTTAAATACTGACTTTACTGCTTGGTGGTGGTGCTTAAAGGGGAGAAAGCAGGAAGAGACAGAAAGCTATAGAGCAAGAAACTACATCACTGATCTGGTTTAAAACATGGTATTCCATAAGATTGTAAACCATAACTTTAAGCAGACAAAAGATCAAGTCGCATTTTACTCATTTCAGAAATCTGTGCAGTTTCAATCATTCTTAGAAAATCTTCATGATCAGAGAAGCTGAATGCACAAGGGTGTGGAAAAAGGAAGGTGGGGGAGGGAACAGCAGCAGCGACACCACAACCACACAAGACAGGACAACCACAAGACCACACAAAATCACAGACTATCTATGGTTTTACATAAAGAAATCATCCAAACTTAACCTCTATATCTGACTGATAGATGAAGAAATCCAGTCTACATTTTAGGTTACTGAAGAACTGTTCTATGAGGACCCTGCTACATAGGGAATATAAATGTACCTGAAAATACATTTTTCTGCATTGGAAATAACAGTACCCAACTCTCTGACTTCTACTACTGCTCACCCCCTCCAGAAAAATGAACAACTTGTGAGCAGTAACATGACAACTCCCAAAATGTATTTAAAAATACAAGTTTATTTCAAATAACATGCAAGGTAAACCTTAACAGTGCTCTAGAGGTATGGCGGAATGGAACAGAAGTCAAATTCCTTACTTAATCTTACAAGCCCTACCCCCACCCTTGAATGACATTTTGGTGACAATAATATTAAGGCTTACCCTCTGGTAAAGCTCTTAATGTCACTTACCAACTTCCCATGCTCATCTCACCAGCTAACTGCTCAGAGATGAAGTGCATCTCAACTAACTAGCACTTCCTCAAGTACTATTTCATTCAGATCTTTTAAGTGTCAGCTTTATCTTACCTTGGTTGTTCTTGTTTATGGAGTCTTCTCCATCTTCCTGTCTGTCTGCTCGCTGTGAGCAAGCATAGGTACTCCTCACCTTGTATGTGTCCATGGAACATATTCCACCGCAGCTCAAGCTTTTATCTACACTACCTCCTTCATTATTTGAATCTCTCATCTTCTCAAAGAAACTCTAGGAAGCCCAACATGATACATACAGTTAACAGTGTTTCTTGGCACAATCATGTGATATATCTGTAAAGATGCAGTTAAATAACACCAACTCCCCAGAAGCAAAACTACCAACACAGAGTTAAAGTTACTAGTGGACAAGTTCACTCCTCTCCTAACGAGCACAACTGTGCAGCACTGTAAGAAAAAACATGCTCCTGGTTCATCAGCTGCTAACCAAAGACCGCTGACTCATTACTTGATCTTACTAGTAAGTAAGCCTGAGCAGGAGAGGGTTTCCCCTCTGCAAACATCCTTCACTTCCTTGTCTGAAGTGAAGAGCTTTACATGTATACACACAAACACACACAAAGATTGTAACCCCTGCTCTGAATTGAATAAATTAATTCAACATCACTATCATTTCTAACTGACATACTTTAGCAAGGACTCCAGATGGGTTATAATGACATCTTGTTGGTGTCACTATAACTTAAAAAAAAAATCAATTTTTTTTACAAAATCATAGTGCCTACTATTAAAAAAAAAAAACCACCTTACTCTTCTGAGAACAATTTATCCAGCTGTTTGTCAAGAAAGCAAAGTATTAGAAACATTCTTAGCACATAAAAAATATTAATAACTTGTTTCCTTCACAGAATCATCAAGGCTGGAAAAGACCTTGAAGATCATCTAGTCCACCCACCTAACACTGACAGTTCTCAACTACACAATGTCACCCCAGACTTAGCTGCTTCTCAAATACAAGTTTCTGTACTGTTTGACTTAAATATATATAAAGAAAAATAATTAAGCCAACAGATGTGGTTTTATTCTTTTCCTGTATGGCCTGCTCTGTATGTGCTCATTTTCATAGATGTCTTCCTCTCATCTTCATTATTTATGTTTTAGCTACACAGCCCTTGGCATAAGACAGTTCTTTCCAAGTACTCATTATGCCAAATAAATAATTAATGCTTGCCTGCGTAGCAATACCATATACATTTAAGAATACAAGGACTTAACAATATTTTGGGGCCAAAAATTATTTTCAATCCATATTGAATTTGTATTGCATTTCTATGCTATTCTTACTCTAAATGCTAAATTTTCCTAATCTTTAAGCAAACAACTTTATAAGTGCATGTCTCTTCCTTAAAATCTAGCCACAGACTCACTAAATCTGACCATTCTCACCCCATCAAGCTCAGTCAGTCATCCAAGGATCAAAACCAAAACAAATGAACAGAAAACCAGTGCTAAAAATGCAAAACCATGAACACACACACAAAAGAAAAAACCCCTCACACACATTATAATCTAGGAGAAAATGCATGTAATATATCCTAGGCAGGAGGCACTGTGATAAGGCTCTTCAACACCTGGATCTTTCTGAAGACAACAAACAGTAAGTTCTACAAGCCTCAGTGAAAGTCAATTGTAAAAGACAAAAACTTGCTTGAAAAACAGAAATGTTTCAAGTTAACACCTCTCTGAAAAATTAATACACTGGGGCAGCCGAGGTATAGAAGATCAAAATGATTCCAGGTGAGTTCACATACACGGAAGAAAACAAGCACAATTACATCTTAGCAAGAAGTTATGGGATGGCTCTACTTAAAAAAACCCTCTTTTGACATTCCAACAGCTACATGGATACTTTGAAGAAGTTAAGGAAGGTGTCAATGCCAAAAGTAGTTCTATTTTTTACATTCACAACTTGAAGGTGCTGGGAAGGGAGATGGTAAATGTCATGTACATTTGTGGCAAATGTTTATGAAAGTGACTCCAGGTCTCAAGGAGAATCTCAATGAGGACAAAGTACTGGAAAAAGAAGTCTTTAGGTAAAACTTTCAGCCTTTGCTTTGGAGACTGACTATGACCCATGGAGCAACTGAAATTACCAAATTGTCAGAAAGGAGTGTGAAAGTCCAGCTTTGTATCTTACAGAGTTATAGGTAAAGAGCCTGTCATATTACAGATGCCACTAATGCAAATCTTTTTTGGAAGACAGCTAACAATTTTTATAATGGTTCAGAAACGAGTAATGAGCTATTAAAAAGCACTCCGTGTATCCACTAGGTTAACTATGCATGGAAAATGCCACCACTGTAACCAAGCTGTCAATATTGCTACTCAAAGAACCACCACTTAGGTTGAAATGTTCATTATTTCTTGTATGTCTCCTAGCAGAACTTCTCAAACAGATTTGAAAGCTTATGTCACCTTCATATATAGCAAATAATTTTGCCCTAAATCAGCCAGTACCTAAATTTTTACAAGTCCAAGGCAAAAACCAAGGGTAAATCAAACATTAATTTATTGGGAATATAAAGATTATGTTATTTTACATTATTAGATATTTGAAAATCAGCAGCTACTCCTGCATTACCATTCTGCTGCTTTACTTCATTAAATAATAATCAAAAAAAGAACACTTAATGTTTACACTTAACCGTACACATTTCAGTTACACAAATTGAAACCTCAGCACTTCAACACGTGGTATACAAGTGAAGACTATCTAGAAATGTCCTAAAATGAATTATTTCAGTCTTGATGACAATTAAACTCAGCCGGTCATCATTACAGCAACACAACACACTGTTCTTCCTAGGAAAGATTTTAATAATTATGTTTAATCACCATAATTAATTGTTTTATTCTCAGACCTAGTATTTGGCTATGTCAACTTCTGTTGCTTGAACTTCGCTTGACACATAAAATAAGCAAAGTATGTTATGGTAATTTACCTCTATTTTCTAGGAAGACAGCAGTATTTATTATTTCTCTTAATCACTGTTAGTTTTAGTTCATTTACAATTTCATCTAGATTTTTAAGACAATGGTACAAATTCAATATATCATGGAAACATGTATAATCTATCGTGTAACAGAAGCGTGATTTTAGTTCCAAAGAAACTTCCCCGGGGAAGGAGGAAAACAAAGCAAGAAAAAAAGAAGCCCTAGTAGATTAAAATATGTTTGATTAGGTATTAAGAGAATAAAAGCTTGACACCCTTTGGCAGTAATTCTTTCTGTGCCTGACTACCCTGAACATCCAGAACTAAACCATTTCAACATCATCTGCAAATACATATGCTTGAAGCTTTCCATGTATATCTGTACACAAATGCGTTTAACACTGATGTTTAATACAAGTTGAGTCAGTTTCCCATGATGAAAGTGGTTCAAAGTCATTTGCAAAAACAATAAATCATTCTGGTTTTATGTTAAAATTGGACTGGTTTTCAAAGTGCTGCAAGTCCAATCAGTTGTGGGTTTTTCTGTACCATGTTCTGGGGTATTAACACGTCTACACCTAGAATAACACTTGGGAAAAAAAAAAACCCACACTTTCTGAGATGGTCTAAAACCCGTTTTGCACTCTGTCTTTACTATAAGAAACTACAGAGCTGGAGTAAAATAACATGTGATTTATGTTTTGTTATATTAATAAAATGCATGTTGTTGTGTTTAACAGCATACTCAAACATGAGAAATGTTTAACAATTCAACACATGGGGAATATATCTAAAAGCCAGCAGACACCATATTTATTCAGAGACACTTGCTGAAACTTTAAGACACATGGATGGTAGAACATTAAGAATTTTAAAATATCACCCCAACAGCATATGGAAGAAATTCTTTAAGATGGAAAGAAAAAAAAAAAAAAGTAATCCTAAAAGCACAAACAAACTCCCAGGATCAACATCCCACCCATAACACTGTTCATCTGTTTCTTGAAAAGAACTCTTTGTTTAAATATGATCATATTTAGAAACAGCTGCTGCCAGCACTTCTGGAGAAAAACCCAAATGTCTGTACATTTTTGCTGCACCCAAAACAACAACATGGTATTCTTGTTACTACCTAGGAAGTTACTGAGACTTGTTTAAGTGCCAGTGGCTAAAAAGCAAAAACCATTCCTGGGTTTAAATGTAAATACTAAAAAGGAAACAAAGCAGGTGGCAATGTGTTGTCATTTATCATTCCAAATGGAGAAGTTTCTAGTTCTCCTCCTTCCAAGATTACTCTGACCTTCATGACTCCAGAAATTACCCTCCCAAAAGTAAGAAAACAGTTGCATTAACATCCCCTTTTGTGTAACATAGCTGTTTTATTTTTACAAAGTACAATTCTTCAAGGACCTGCTTTCTGCTACATAGTCACCATCTATTCATACCGCATTTTAAAAGACTCTGGATTTACTCAGCAACCATTAAAACTTTGAGCGTTTCTCTAGGTGTGATACATATGGTGCTGAGAGTTTATCAGGGAAAGATGAAGCAGCATCATATACATACACACCTGCTGCATAAAATATGCAGCTCACCTTCCAATTCTAGCAACCTCCTGAACAACAAATTTAAGTAAAACAAAGGTCACCTTGAAAACATCTGTGACTTCCTGAATTCAATTGTCACTTGTCTTCTATGCATCAACTAGTATTTCATACATGAAATAAATATCAAGAAGAAAATATTAATACAACTCAGTAAATACTATCATATTATTTATTTTGATATTCAGAACTTTGTCAGCAAAAACACCCAGTTAAAAAATTAATTCTCACAGGAGAAAAAGAAGCAAGTTTTACATATATAGCTAAGGAGAAACTTCCAATACCTTGTCATTTTCCTTAGTTGCACTGTAATGCTTTTCCAAGTCTTTACTTGAGAAAGTTGTACACAGTCTTTTCAACAAGAAAATTTTCCACAACTACCAATCATAAAAATGGCAAATATTATAACATGTTGATGCTTCTCAGGTTTAGAATCTAGATGGTTTAAGTCCTGTGATGGAAATATTACACAGGAACCACATGAAAACGTAAAGCATCAGCCGTACAGGAAGGTTACACTGCAGCAAGCTATTCAAGACACTGAAACAAAGTGAATTATTATTTTAAATTTTACAACACTAAAAACTTGACCAGGTCTAATGACAAATTTATTATGTGTTACTATGTCATCCTGTTCTGCTATCATCCTACTCACTCATGGATACTCTTATTCTGAAGCCTAGGTGAGTTTACAACAGAACGATTCACATATTGAATCTTTCTTGTTAGTGCATCCAGTGACTCGCAGGACATTACAGAAACAGAAACAGCAGCAGCTATTTCAGACCAACCTATACACTAAAAGCCCAAAATCATATGGGGCATCACAATGGGATCGTCTCAATCCCACACATACCACATGAAAACCTCTGTAAAATCATTATTGCAGGAGCTTCTACTTTTTGCAGAATGGGAAAAAAACAGTTACTAGCAGCAGAGAACTGAAGTAGGTATGCACTGTTCCAGAAATAAAGCTGTCTGTGCCAAAAACGGCAGAACTGAATCCTCTGTTGTAGAGGATATGCAGAGTATCTGGAAGGTCAGATGCTTATTTCAGTTGTCACAGTAGAGCTTACTAATCTTTTCATGTTTGCAAACACAAAGCAAAGACAATGCTTTCAATGTGGGCTACTTGTGACCTACCGAAATGAGCAAACTTTCAGGTCAGTATTTAAAACGATTCCAGTATAAATAAAAAGCCTGGCAAGCAAGAGCCGAGCCGAAACCCTCCCATCCACACCCAGACAAGCGCTCGCAGTTGCTGTGCCGCAACACCAACACGAGAGTCTCAGCGCAGCCAGCACGTTAAATGAAACACACGGGGTAACAATTGTCAGGAAACCTGTCCTCGCTGCGTTGGAGTGAGTCCTGCTGGCCCTAGGGATCCAGGCCTTCAGCAAACACCAGCAGACCCCTGCCCGCTGCAGTGCTACATGAGACACGGTGTGACCACATGGGCTTTATTTATTTTATTTTTAAAATTGTATGTTTAATTATTTATTTATTCAAGAACAAAGGAGCACCACGGTATGACACCACTGCCTTGCTGAGGGCAGTGAGATGTCATGGGATGGGCCGTCACCATCACATGTCCCTTCATACAGGCAGCAATATTCTTCGGCAAAGATTAAAATACTAGGCATCAGCAAAAATAACCGTAGATGCCAGAAAATTCACATACACGTAGTAATTCTGTGCAAACAAACGTTGAACCGCCCGATTCCTCCGGGAGAGGAGGCCGGGAAGGCCGCACCGCAAGGGCTCCCCCGTTTCAGCGCACCCCTTGACCCCCACCGGACAGCACCGCCGGAGCCGCAGCCCGGTACCCCACCCACCGGCTGGCACAGGCCCCGCGGAGCCCCCCTTCCCCGGGGACAGCTGCCACTCAGCCGGGGTCTGGCGCAGCCACCCCGGAGGCGACGGACGAGGGAG